AAATAAATAAATAAATAAATTAAAAAATTAACAACAAAGTAACAAATAGTTGTGAATGCCTCATCCCTGAAGGTGCTCAAGGGCAGGTTGGATGGGTCCTGGGGAAGCAGATCTGGTGGGTGACCACCAGCCCATGGCAGGGAGTTGGAACTGGATGATCTTTGAGGCCCCTTCCAACCTAAGCCATTCTACAATTCTATTCAATGATTCTACTTTCAAACCTAGAATCTGGTGCAACTCACGACCATGGTGACACAAATCTAAATGGGCTTTCCATGGCTCTGTTTTCTACTTCATCTTTTGTTTAAGCATGAGAAGCACAAAAATCAACCACAGCTCACCCATTACCCAGCTGCCTAAATTTTGTAAGTAGCTCCACAAGAACTGGAATTATCGCTAACTCCTAATACAACAAAAAACAGAAATAAACCCCAGCTAGCAAAAATATTGTATCACCCAATGAGTAAAGCAATTCTGCACCCAAGAAAAAATAGATAAAGGCTGAAAAACTACCGACATTTGTAGTGTGAAACCCCCCTTAATTACCCACATAGGATTCCAAGTTATTTCTCTGGTCAGCAATGGCACAACAAAGATATCCGTAAGTGTTTTAGGAAAAGGCTTGGCAGCTAGTTAAAGAGAACAAAAATATGCCACTAACATGCTTGCCAATAAATCAAGAATAAACTTAAAAATGCAAATGAGACTCCCAATTTAACTAAAAACCCACATCCAAAAACAATACCAAAGCACTAACTCCATGTTGAGGAGAATGAACTACTTTTACCCTAGAAATGAAGCAAAATATACATGTTTCCATTTATATTTCAGCTAAGGCCAGTAGTGTGAATACAATAGCAGGTTTTCGATCATTGAAACAGAGTCACCAATCCCTTAAAACAAAACAAAACAAACAAAAAAATCTCCTTCCCTCACCATCCAACTCTGACTAACATCTCAGGCTGGAAGGAGCTCTGCACAACCTGATGTAGCTGTGGTGTGTGTATTCATTGCAGGGGAGTTGGACCAGGTGGCCTTTAAATGTCTCTTCCAAATCAAGTGATTCTATGATTCTATAAATGCAAAATATAAATGATTAACGTATCCTCTGGCCAAATAGCTGCACATAAGCTGTGTTCGCCTCTGTATTCAGGCAACATTTCTGCTGCAGCTCCTTTCTGCTCAAAGAAACCCGGAATATCAAAGTGATTTTACAATTACATCATCACAACTGTTCATCATGAGTTGTTGACTCCAACAAAGCTAAACATTCCTGAAGTTAAACATTTCCCGCTCAAAGATTCACAATTCCCTCTCCACTCTCCTCACCAGTTTGGACCACCAACAAAATATCACCCTCACGAGCCTCTGAGTTTTCACTTCTTGTCACTGCCAAAGTGGCTGACTGAACCCTATCTGTTACCATTCCTGTACAATAAGATCACAACTGCTACACATGTTTGGATAATTACTTATGAATTTTCACTTAAAACTTGGATTCAGGCTCTCTCATCAAGAGGCTCTGTGTCCAAAGTGAACACAACCACTTTCTTAATACAAAGAAATTTTTTTCCTGAAAATTTACGAGTGCATTTTTTAGTGCAATTATTACAAATCAAGCTTAATCAAAAAAGGACATTTTCATAAATTAAAACAGCATCTGTGTGGGGAGGGACTTTTGGTGAAATGTCTGATTTCCTTTCCTGAAATCATATGCATAAACTGCGCTAGAGCATTTTTAAATGGCATGTCTTTCTTTAGTACTGAAGATTTGTTCTTAACGGCAGGAAAATACAGCATTATCACAAAAAATAGAAATCTATATTAGAACTTGTCTTTTGTATATAGATCTCCTTTGTTATACACATCTTCTGCGTTACATTTTTCACCTCCCATTTTGTTTTATTTATTTATTTTTTAGTCATCTCATAATGTGCCAGCTTGTTCATACCTATAATGACTGTTTGCAAGGAAGTTGTAAGACCAGTGAATAACGTTTTTGAGCCCCAGCAAGGACCCCTTCATCTGAAAAAAGAAACAAATAATGGGCAGATAAAGAGGTACCTGCAAAATCATAGAAGTTACAATTAATCTTTGCTACTCACAGTACAAAGTGAATAAAAATAAAACTACCAGAGAGTAGGTTTTAAGCTAACAACAGAAAATACTGTTTTTCTTCATATCTATTAAAATTTTGGAACTTCTTCTCACGGCATGAAGTTCTACAGACTTCAGATAAATTCAATGAAAAACAAGCAAAGGCCTCTTTGGGCCTTCCAGTACTCAAAGGGAGCTCATAAGCAAGAAGGGGACTGACTTTTTATATGGTCTAGTAGTGATAAGACAAGAGGGAATGGTTTTAAACCATTACTTAAACTAGAAGTGGGGAGATTTAAGTTAGATGTTAAGCATAAATTCTTTACTCAGAGAGTGGTGGGGCACTGGCATAGGCTGTCCAGAGAGCTTATGGCTGTTCCATCCCCAGAAGTGCTTAATGCCAGGTTGGATGGGGCCCTGGGCAGCCTGATCTGCTGGGGGACAACCAGCCTATTGGGGTTGGAACAGGATGATTTTAAGCTCCCTTCCAATCTCAGCCATTCTGTGACTCTATGAATCTATTAAACAAGAATGTCCACCAGTTTGCTGAGAAAAATCCTCAAATGAGAAGTATTACTCAGTAATTCCCTGCTCCTTATACTTCTCAGTAATCTTCTACTTTGCCAGCGCTCAGGACACAGCAGAACTTCTGATCTCAAGGATGACAATGCATTTATTTAGATTTGTGAGGTGTTAAGATAAATTTGCTGTTTTTCTATTAGAAATAGATGAAGATTGCCTGGTTATTCTTGTAGATGCCGAGAACAAAAGGTGACAGAAAGACCCCCATCCACTTCACAGCCCAGTAACATTTTGGAATGCTTACTGTTTATTAAATCAATGGGTTTTTCTTTTATTTTTAAAGACATATTTGCATCACAACTTGGTTTTAAGGTTGCCTCTACAAATGAATAATTTAGAATAAGTACATTCTGGTGACTTTCCAACTTTCTCTGGATCAAGCGCTATAATCAGAGGCTACTGAGATTAGAGTGTAAGAGTGTAAGCTCCTGACTCAGTTGAGGGAAACTAAAAACCAGCTGTGCTCACAGCATCAAATTGAAGGGTTGAAGAATTAAACTAACCTAACACATATTTAAAAATCATCTTCACATGCTGTGATATCACCAGTTCCCAGTGTTCTCACCAGCGTGCCACTGCCCTGGTGTAATGGCAGTATCAGGTCAGCAGACTCCAGCGCTAACTTACTGGCTTTAACTTAGAATAACTAAATCCTGGTTAAGAGGTTCTTTATTTTTTTAGATTTTATTTTTATACTTCTTTGCTAGCCCCTGACACATAAACACAATCCCTCAGTTCCCGTTTTGTGTGTGGGTGTTAGGCAGCTGAACACAGATGGTTTGTAAGCATTTCAAAGCCATTTGTTTAGCAAACTAAATGCTTGCTTTATTATTTACAAGTAATCAAAGAGCACCTGCTTATTTCTTGTTCTGATCTATCCAGACAGAAACCAGTATTACATCCACAAGGCTGCCCTCTTGATGTTTATAATCGTGGCTGAGCTCAGTGGATGTTTATGCACAGCACTGCAGATATTTGGGTAGAAGAAGCTGATAACTAAACAGGAATGTGGAAAGTGTGAAGAAGAGCAGTGTGCAGTCCTCCCAGGATTTTAGACTGCGTATGCATGACACACATGCAGCTTCTTGCCCACATCTATGCAGCAGTAATGCCTGGAAAAAAATCTCAGTGGGGCAACAAAATGACAAAAGCACAGTGCTACAGTGAGGGACTTGCAAGAGTCACAAGCTCACTTCACATAATTAATCAAGAACCTGGTGAGTGAAAGCTCAGGACCAGTTCATGAATCATTCAATTTGCCAATTCATTCTTGCAATTTGTTGTTCCATCTGTACTGCCAGTCCCTCTGGTGTTTGTTTCTGTTTGTTTTTTTTCCAGTTGAATAGGTGGCTGCACCATTTTTCAGCCTCCAGAACAGAGTGGAACATCAGATAGTACTTCGATATATCAGAGCGTATTACATCCATTATATTCCTCTAGGTGCCCAGTGCAGCCACCAAGAGCCTTGCCTTTTTTTTGATGAAACCAGTCTTGGGATATATGTCCTGAGCAATCCGTTGCTATGAGTTACGGGATCATGGGCTGGTATGACTGCAGGTCTGTTACAAATTACGCCTAACACCTTTGGCAGTTGAAAAGTAGCCACTGATATAACTTGAAAATTTAGTGTGCATGGGAGTTTTGCAAAGAGCCACAATCTCAGAAGTGAGAAAAGTTAAATTTTCTTCATGGAAGTTGCACCAAAAACTACGAAGCATGAAGTAAGAAGCAACGCAGAGCTAGCACACAGACAACTAAGGCAGGTTTCTCTGCCCTGACCCACCAGTAACATAAGGATTTTTTAGGTAAACTGTGTTGCACAAAATGTGCTATTAATTTGAAGTACAAAATAACCTAAACAAAGAGTGTACATTTTATCTCTGTCTACATCTCACAAGAGCCCAGTGCTTCCAAATATAGCCAGATGCTAGATTTTGTCAAAGCACAAACTCCTATTTCATGAGTAGACAGCATGAGATTCCTGAACCCCTGGGGAAGCATTTATGCTGGATAACAACACTGATACCCTGACCCTACAAAATGGACCCACGTACTACTTTTATGGACATGAGTAATTGGATTAAAATTTCTGTTTAATTTTCCAGAAGGTTGAGGACAGAAACAAGTACTTTTAGAATCAGGATTCCAGTGAAGAAGAGTGTGTTATGATTTGCAGTGGAGGAATACATTAAACAGTTGTTTGTGAAGTTTTACATGACTCCCAGTTATTACAGGAAATGTCTGCAAAGGCAAAAAATCCCCAGCTTCACATGCAGCTGAAAACTCCTAATTCCCTTCCCATAGTATTTTGTTATACTTACCAATATTGCAGTACTTTCCTACAAAAGGTCCTTTGCAGTCACACACAGTTTTCCCACTGGAGGCAATCATTTTACATTCTCCACCATTCATGCAAGGATCATGAACACAACCTACAATCAGAAGCCAAAATCAAATAAGGATACAGACTTATCAAGAGAACCAATCCAATTTTTACTTAATTTAGTACATCTTCTTCCTGTACGTGCATCTAAGGGAAATTTTCTTTTTACTCATCTTAGACCTAGACCTCATATAAATTGAAGAAAAGAAAACCACTGATTTCTGCCTACTGAGGTCTGCCTCACTGCTTTCATTTTTATTGGATAATGTCAGCACAGCTTTTGAAAAATATTATTAATGAACAATAGGGAAAAGGAAGTGGTGATTATTATCACTGGTGGTGATGATGGTGACATTTGCATTTCTTTCTGTACAGAGGGTTCTGCCAGCTCCAAGTTTACCACTGAACTGTTTTGAAATTTATAATAACATATTTAGAAGGGAGCTCAGCCAAATACATAGGGTCTGCAACAAGAAAATATTCTTCCCAAATCTCCTATCATGTCCATGGACTGCCATTGTCCTAGAAAGCCACCAACTCTCTCGATGATTCAACTTCCACTTCTTTCAATTGGGAATAAAAGTGCATACCTTCTTCAAAAGGCTTTTATGAAGCTTACTCAGTACTGTAAGTCTGGAGAGATAGATCTGGTCAGCTGGACTCAATAACAGAATAGCCATGCTGGAGCATATAGAGATCTGAGGAAAACTTTTGCTTCCTACCATCTCTTCTTCCACAGGGAGATGTCATGGTGGCTTCATCAGATATATGACAACCCAGGGTGCATGCTCAGCTCTTCCTCACACTCAAAACAAGGAGGAAGCTTCAAAACATGAGCTTTGCCCTGACTTGGAATGGATATGTTGAATCTAAAGTAACAGGGACTCTGGGATCAATGCAGGGCAAATGGGATCCTGGAGTCAGGTACAGTTAATGTGCTGGAAATTCAAGAGCAAGACAGGCTGGGAAAGAAATCCCAGAGAAAGCAGCCACTGGAAGAGATTGTGGGTGTTCAGGAAAGAGTAAATGAGGATGTACCTCTCAGGCACCTTACAGTTTCGGAAGAGAGCTTGTGACACCAGAAATTTCACCATTTCCACTGTATCATCTGTCGGTATTCCTACACGATGCAGATCAGGATTAAATCACTGTCAAGGACAGCACTAAGGCTTGTCATTAAATTCAGCTTACTATGTTTAATTGCTCCCTCAAGTAAGGATTGACAAACTGAAGTGATTTCCTGGGTCAGCATTACTGCTCACACACGGAAGGCTGTGACCCCATTGTGAAAAGTATACACGAACAAAGTATACAGCCTTGCTATGATAACACCACTCAGGTTTTATATTCTTACTACCGTTTATCCCCACTCTACGCAGGTCAAGAGCTGCAATACAAAATAATGCACTTACTTTTGTGTTCAACTCTCTGGCATTCCACCTGCCCATCCACGCAAATGCACTGCTCCACAGATCTTTGTTTGACTCTTGACCAGCTCACATCCACATCAAAGAACTCATAGAGACTGTCATCAAAACATCTCTCTAAAATGAGGTTTGAAAAATAACAGGCTTTCTGAGATTATTTTTTGCAGGGGATGGTGCCATGTATGCTACACTCCCTTTCTTCCTACTGAATAGATACATTTGTTGACAGCTAGTGGTTCTCCAACAAGCCATCCCCCAAGGTGTGAAGACACAAAGCCAGCATAGCAGTAGCTACAAGGACCTAAAGGCAGAGGTGACTTTCTCCTAAAGCTCTGTGAACATGATAGCATCACTTCAGCACCCCTAAAAGTTCAGCCACCAAATGCAAAAAGATAAAAATCAGCGATATATCACTGTGTCTGTCTCATTTTACAGCATCAGTCACAGATGATGGGCTATGCTGGAGAGCTAATATTGAAAAGGGCATCTTTGCTTATGCTGGGAGGCAGTCCAGAGCTGTAGGAAGAAGCCTCTGCTAAACAAAGGCAAGCACAATTGGATGTCATGTTGCAAAAGCCTAATTTTTCTCTTGGCATGCACTAAACTGGGAGTGACAGCACCATAAAACTGGAGAAATAACCCAAGCAAAGCTCTCTGGCCCCTCCTCCACCTCTGGCACTGCATTCCCTGCAGGCAGAGGAGTGCACAGGCATTAGGGTTGGCATCACAGAAGCTGAAATGGCCCCAGGTCTACATATGCAGAAAGGGTAAGGCGTCACCTGAAGTTTTGCCGCTTTTTCATGTCTCCCTGCCCTATTGGATGGTATTATTAGTCACTTCCAAGCATGTAAGTGATATTTAAATCTTAAAAAGAGCAAAGGGAGGGGAGAAGGCTCTTTGTGTTTCCCATACCTTAATACCTCACTGGCTCAGAGCATGCTTGGATTTATAACTGTATAATCAAGTTATTTTCAGCTGTCCTGTTAATAATGGATGTCTGTCATAACCATTTGGAAGTCTGCCTACAGAAACAATCATGCATAACAGCACTGCCTTTTCATTAAGGAAACTTTAATGAGCTCTTCTTGCTGCCCCTATCTCCTGGAGTAACACTTGAGGAAGAAGATACTCACTCATCTGACAGTCTCTTCCCATGAATTCCTCGAGACAGGCACAGTGGTACGTCCTATGACCATGAGCGAGAAAACAGGTCCCTCCATTTTGGCAAGGGTTGTTTGCACAGTAATCTAAATGGACCACACAAGAAGCTGCTGTTAACGTCTGCCAGATAAACTCTGCTTTGTTGCTCTGAGAGTTGGCTTGGTTACCTTAACCATTTTGGTTGATGCACAGTGGCTTTAATACTACCTCTTAATCTGAAATAGTGTTAATCCAGCCAATGTGTATTGGTTTTGTTTTGAGGTGCAAAACAATTACACTCTTCCAGCTTTTTAAAGCCATATAACAAATCACTGTTCTGGATGTTTTCCCAGATGATAGGGCAAGGAGAAATGGTTTCAAACTAAAAGGGAGGAGATTTTGACTGGATATAATGAAAGAGGTTTTATATTATAAGAATGGTGACGCACTGACTGACACAGGTTGCCCAGAGATGATGGATGCTCCATCCCTGGAGATGCTCAAGGTCTGAGGCTGGAGGGGCTCTGAGCACCTGATGGAGCTGTAGGTATCCCCGTTCATTGCAGGGGAGTTGAACCAGATGACCCTTAAGGGTCCCTTCCAACTCAAACGATTCTATGATTCTACTTTATGAACAACTCGTCCCAGGGCGGTGGGCTCAGGCCAACCCGAGGCTGTAGCGAAGAAGAAGATGGGCCGACATCCACTAGATGGAGCTGTGCCTTTGCACTGGGGAGGAAGGCGTAGCTCTGGCTCTGCCCGGATTACTGCCCTGCATGCTTTGCATTTCAACAGAAATAACCAGGATTATGTATTTCTCTTTCAAATTACACCAAGGACCATCCTCCACAGAGGAATTTGCTGTGGATTTTTTTGGATTATGTCTAAAATGAACAGACAGCTGGAACAAAGGAAAAAGCTTTTGAAGCAAGGCACATCCAAATACATCAGGCCAAACGAGATTAAACCGAAGCAGAGCTATAGATCTATTTTTAAGAGAATCTTCTAAATCATGGGAAAATATGTTGGGAGAGTAAGTAGGTGATGTGTTAGGACAGCTCTCTCATGACACAATGGAAGCTTGACTTCCATCAAAGCAAGTTGTGGAAGCTTTGGTGGCTCCTGATTGCAGTGACAAAGTGTGTCTCCCCTGAAGTCAACCAACATCTTGTTTTGACATTTTGTTTTGCACCTGCAGAAGACATGGCCCAATAACCTGCCTGCATTTCATCCTCCTTGCTACAGCTACTCAGACTCTGTGAGAGGTTACTCAATCCAGGTGCTCCTTCCACTGGAGTGGCGTCTAAGCATAAGAGGCAATGTGTGAAAACAAGCACACACGTACAGAGCTAAGAAAAGTACGAAAGTCAGTTCCTGAACTTGGCTACAGCAGTGGAAATGTGAAAGTTCCCCTACACAGATCAAAATATTTACTGTAGAACAGAGTGGTGTAATTGATGTGAAATACCAGCTTTGGGTGTATTCTCTACTAGTTTCACTCCAGGATAACATCAAGGGAAAGCAAGTATAGGCAGTGATGATTCTACCGTTCGTGCTGTTTGGTAGTTATGAAATTTGTAGTGATGTAATGTTTCCTCAAAGGCAAATTCGGTATTTCCTGTACCAATCACATCAAAACCATGACTTGCTCTCCATCTTCAGGTACAGCAGGGCTCTGTATAGAGACTACACCTCATTACACCCACAGAGAGTACTTCCAGCCCCTCCTATCTTTCCTGGTTGGAGATCCTCACTGCATCCCACTCACCCCTCTGGCCAGACTTTCCCTGGCTATTTCACATCCCTTCCCTCTTGTCCTGAAGCCCAGCTTAAACTTCTACCTCCAAGAGGTGCTCCCAAGCAGATGAAAAACATCACTTTCCCTCTGGGGACTCCTATCCAACACTAAATATGTGTTAAATGGGGAGTCCAAGTCCTTGCCTGTTCAGCCAGAGTCTAAATCTCATGGGAAAAACAACTTGTTCTTGCTGGCAGCCACCCTGACATCAGCTTCACCTCTCAAAGGCTGCACAGGAGATTTGCCTCACCTCTCTAACCATATCTTCCCATAAAAACTTTCTGTTTCTGCCACCCACCTTTCCCAGGGGCTGCTCTTCCTCAAAGCCCCTCATGGGACAGAGCCTCTTCCTCATAACTGTGCAGCCCACGCGCCTCTACTTCTTCTTTTCATATCAGTTCAAGCACCTCTTAGGAAAAAGAAATCTCTTGGCTGGATGTCTGTCACCTTCCAAAACTAGGCCACTCTGGGGTTCTGGCTATTTGTCTAAGATTTCCAGATATTCAGCAGTCTGGTCAGAGCAATAGTACTGACAGACTGCACAAGATCTGACAGTTCCAGACACAATGACACTGCACACTTATGCACGTATATTTGTATGTGTATCTGAGCTGTGCATGCACAGCCTGGTTGGCCCCTGTTCATGACTGTGTTCACCTCAGGCAGATCCTACACATGCTCTTCACAGGATTTCTTGGGCAGGAGAGGAAGATTCTCCAGAAACCTGAACAGATATCTCCTAAAGGCAAGATAAAACTCCTGCTAATTTCGGGGGGGCTGAACAAGCACTGCAGGGGCTGTTTCTGTGAGCTCTGGCTCTGTGCTGCACAGCACAAACATTTCCCTCCAGCAGAGCCTTTATACAAGCGCTTCACTTCACCCTGGAGCCAAAGGTTTGGTGATTAAACTTTCTCTGGAAATTGGCAGAAGTATTTTTCTGGATCGATGCCACAAACGCTTGCTTAACACCGACTTGTATGCAACTCTGGTGGTTTCAAGCAGACTTCCCACATGCATGGGGCAATCTAAATCTGGAGAGAATCCATGCTTCAGCCTTTGATCCTTCCCCATCCCAATTCACACACTTCTCACAAATCTCCAGTCAAGGAGTCAAATCTCCCTGGAATTTCATTTTTTACTGCTTTTTGTGTACTATAAAGCAGCTGAGATTTCCTCAAAGTTGTAATATCTTAGCTGGATTTTTTTCACGATAAAAATCGTGCATCTTCCACATTCAGAAAATCATCATTATTCAACTGGGCTGTTGCTCTCTTCCCAGCTATCTTCCCAGAATGTGAGCTTTCCTCCATTTTCTTGAAGTTCCCTTCAGCCATTTACCACTCCTTCCTTTTGACCTTACCATAAACCCTTTGCCTTTAACCTGACAATCTGCTAAATGTTTTTCAAGTCCAAATACAGCACTTGCTGCTTAAAAGAAATAAATAGAACTATGCTTACAAATATATCAACTTGTAAGACTTATTTAATTGTACAAAAACCTTAATGCTCCTGTACTTTCTTCGTAGCAGTTGTGTTCCCCTCCCTCTCCCTCATTCCCCTTTCTCTTTTCTTTCCTCTTTCACACATATAACTTTCTTTTCTGGAGAAGAACGAGAAATCAGGACAAGGTCTCTCCGGGATTATGGTACATTGACAGCCCTCAGCAAGAGGCAGGCTCTTGAGAGGGCTTTCTCTTGGCAAATCATCTTACCCAACCCTATGGTGGATAACAGACAAAAATGATCTGGAGAGTCCCCAAAGCCTTGTCTCCAAAATGAGCAAGACAAGAAACTATCAGGACTGCAATGATGGGAAAGGAGAGGGACAGAGGTGACATGAGGAACCCCGGGGCAGCAGTGGGGAGGGGGAGGATGGAGGGATCCCCAGTAAATCCAGCCTCCACTGGGGAGCGCCCATCCTGGCCAAAATGACTATCTTGGGTCCTGAAAGCGTGCAGCCTTTGTAAGACCTGGTCCTCCGCTTTCTGCACAGGAGGAGCAGCGGGTGATGCCAAGGTGCTCCACGTCACAACAGTAAAGAGTGTTTCTTGTAACTAACAAGAGTGAGGCAGGAATGCACCTTTTAAATTCACAGCAGAATGTGAGTTACTGTTTCCAGGACTTTAAGCTCTGAGAGGGCACTCATGAATAAGCAAGTGAAGCCCTCATAACTTGACTCTTGCAAGCATGAGCTGTCTATATTCAGCATTCACATCTGACATACTTGCATTACAAAGGCACATGCGCTGCTGCTTGTTATGGGATTAGGTCATTTGTCTCTGATCTGCTGTTAATCTGTTTTAAAACCAGGCTGGAAAATAATTTAAAGTTGTTCAGTTTAAAATGATGATGTTGCACACTGCTTAATTTTAGATTCTCAGGATGATTCAGCTTGCATTGGCTTTTCAAGTGCTCCGGTAGATTGTAATCAGTTTGGCAATGAGACTCCTGACATGACAGAGAACTCTGCAAGGGAAAGGTAGAAAATACCCTTTGTTTGAAAGTTAGAAGCGAACAAGTAAAGGTACCCAGCCTGATCCCACAGACTGAAGAAGACAGGTCACAGCTGAAAGTAGTCCCAAAGAGAAAATAGGAAGATGATCACCATTCAGATATAGATCCAAAATAGATACTGGGACATGACGTTTGGTCAGTACATCAGATTTTTCAATGCTGGTCAATTATTGTGCAAATGAGGCCTAGATATCTATATGTTCCTTACAAAATGAATGAGTTAGATGTTTCAAAATGAGAACCCCCCAGCCAATCAGCCCATGAAGGCTGAAGGTGGGGACAGCAAGGGCCAGCCATCAAGGCAGTGCTGAGGGCAGCATGATCCCTACCAGAATACTTGGGACAGGGTGCCTTCACCCACAGCATTGCTTAGAAGCAGCATATAGACAGTTTGCCACAGACCCTGGCTTCTCCATTTAGACAGACTTTCACAATGTGTGTAATCACAGCACTTGAGTGTGGTGACCCACATGAAGCTGTTACAGTGCTCAGTAATCTTTTCATTGTCCCTCAGTACTCCTGCAATGAACCACCTGTCCTCTCGTATTCTCCAAAACATGCCCAAAACATGAAGAAGCTTGGTTGCCATAGAATCACTGAACCATCATAGGATCATTTGAATTGGAAGTGACCCCTAAAGATCATCGAGTCCAACTGTCCTGCCATGAACAGGGACACCTACAGCTAGATCAGGTTGCACAGAGCCCCATCCAGCCTGACCTTGAATGTCTCCACAGATGGGGCATCTGCCACATCTCTGGGCAACCTGTTCCAGTGCTTCACCATCCAAAGGAGAACTGCTCCTTACTGAGATCACTAGAAGGAAAATCTAAAAGACATCTCCAAGCTGATGATCATCTCTGTGCTCAGCTCCAGGAAGCGCTCAGATTTCCATGTTTGCTCTGCCATAGTTTCTCTCATGGCTTCAGGTTAATCAAGAGTGAATTAAAGACTCTGTAGTATTCACAGCCCGATGCTATGGTTATGTGGACTCACAGAAAGCTCTTGGAAACACTTAATGTGAAGGCTTATTCTGTGTTCACAAGTTAAAAGCCACAGGGAAGGCACAGACTATTACTACATGTGGAAAATGGGAAGCAGGCACACAGAGTGACTCAGCAGTGGCTCGCCTTACCTGAGTGCTCTGTGGACAGCCACGCGCAGTACCCCCATTTCCTGTCCCGGTCGTAGTTATGTGTTGTTGAACACCTGGAAAGAATGAAAAGTGTGGTTTAGCACAGCTTCAAAGAGCTCAGATATTGCATCAGGTGAATCAAGAGTCTCCATCACAATCACAGAGCAGCCATGGGAAGTTCATTTACCCCACTGTTGTGTGCAGCATATTGGAAATTTTTACTTAAGATAAAAATCCTGCAGAGAAAATGCTTATGAAGATTTACAGGATTACAGCTACCCTTAGAGGACCCTTGTGTCCTTGAGAATATTGCTTCAGTAGAGCTAGGTACCTTCTTTTTGTCCTCAGTCCAGGAAGGCCAAGTACATGGCTGCACTGAAACTACCATAGAACTACTAAGGCTGGAAAAGACCTCCAAGACTATCCAGTCCAACCATCCACCTACTACCAATATTTCCCCACTAAACCATGTCTCTTAGTACCACATCTAAGCATTTCTCAAACACCTACAGTGAGTCAACCACTCCCTAGGCAGACCGTTCCAGTGCTGGATCATTCTTTCAGAGAAGAATTTTTTCATAATATCCATTCTTATGTCTTTGACTCTTTGTTACAAGGAAATTCATTCTTGTTTTCCTTATTAGCATCTATTTCATTCAAACTCTCAACACCAGAGGAAAAAATGTATGTGCTTTTGTGGGTTTTTTGTTTCGTTTTTGTTAAAGACACTCTGCTTCATTTATCTTAAATCAAATGCAGACCGAGATGTGGAAGCAGGATCTGAGATCTCCAAATAATCCTTCAGGGGGGATGGTGGGAAGGGGAAGTCTGCTTTCTGTTTCTAAGATAAGAAAACAAAAGACAGAAATGAAAAACTAAACAAAAGCAAATAAATCATGCCTCCCGTATTCATTACAGGAGACAAACAAAACAAGCCAAGCAGGACCCAACCCCTTTCTCATGCCTGCTGTTACATTCAATGATCTGCAGAGGCAGAAGACTACCCAAAGAGGGAGCTTCTCCTTGCTTTCCGTGGAAACCGTATTTTATGCTCACTTCCTTTAAAGTATTTCTACTTTCCAGCTTGCCTGACAAGTTGAGGAAATAATTGACATGAGGATGGTTTCCAGAGGCACAGATAAAACCCTGCATCTCTTTCGAAACCTGCACGCCACAGGCACTTTGTGAATGTTACCAAAGCACCATCCAGATGGACTTTGACAACTGTGTGATCTGTGCACTTTCCTTGTCCTTATCCCTCTGTTCTCCCCAAGATTCATTACATTCCAAGGAGCATTAAGCTTATATTCCTTTCTTACAGAGGTAGATATAGGCTTCTGAAGGTCAGACAGGCAGTTGCTGAACAAAACCTTAACTCCACAAGTCCACATCTTGCCCCAGCATCCTATGCAACAAAACTTTGTTTCTAACCATACTTGGCACCAAGGGACACAGTTTTGGGATGTGGTTTAGTGATAGAACTCAGTAGGTCAGGTTGGCAGTTGGACTTGTGATCTTAAAGGTCTCTTCAAGACTAAATGATCATCTGATTCCATGATACTAAAATAAATACCAGCTATATTTGCTGTCACTACACAGGGAAATATGTGGCTACAGGGCATAGCAAGCAACAGGAATTAGCTTTATTTAACATCAGATAACTTATTATGTGCAATTTCATCATGTATTGAACAGTTACATTATCTTTCTACCACAGAACTTCCCAAGCTAGAACAAAATTTAACTGTAGAGCACATCTACCATTTTAACTGCCTTACACTAATCCTTCATTAGATTCTATGAGGCATTTTAAATGCTTTATTTTCTATGCAACATCTGAATAGGCTGTGCATAATAGGTTAGGTGACCTTAATCATAAAAGATTCATAAAAAAAACCAGTACTGAATAGTGCAGTGCAGACTAAAGTGACATCCTTAAAGATGCAGTTTTCTCACAGACTTTAAAGTCCATGATGATCTGAGGGAGTTAAGGGAAATTTCCTTGTATTCTTTAGTGGGAAGCAGATCACGTTCTTTTAAAGGTCTGCAGCACACGAAGATTACAGTGACTCTCAGTAGCATGTCAGTTGTGTTACTGTTGGCACAACAGGCTCAGACTTAACATTTCAGTAACAATGGAGAAGCAGCAGCGGTGCTTTCTGACTGACATAATTACTGATTTAGCAGAGAGGTGTAACACTGGGCAGCATGGGAGAGGCAAAAGGAAAGGTTCCACATACACTTAAAAGCAGAACTGAGTATTTGTCAAAACGAATTTAAGCAAACTCAGCGGGATAAAAATATATGAAAAATGATGCTCTCTAGTCTCTGTCAGGCAGATAACCAAGTTCTAATCAAATAGAGAACTAGATTTTTGCTTCCTCAA